TTCTATATGGCCCTCTCTTTTTGTATTTTGTGTTTTTTGTGAATGTGGGGAAAAGGGAATATGGCAAACATCAACATAACCACAGTCCAGTATAAGAAAGAACCATCCCTTTTCGTAGTTTTCAATAGTGCTAAACACACTGTCCAAACTTTTTGGGAACACCCACCAACCCACCTCCAACTAGCATCAAAACCTGCCTGAACAGGACACGGTGTATTCTACATGGTGTTGCATCTGCTCAGCACAGTCCCACCACACCACCTGCTTATCTCGTTGTCTTAAATTGAGGGTCTGATGAGGGGAGTGAGGTGTGGGATTGAACGGTGGCGCCTTTTCATCTCCGTTGTGTGCTGGTGAAATTTGGAGCTGGTGATTGATCTGACCAGGGGAAGTGATGGGAGTCTGTCTCGTGTTCCCCGAGCCCGTCAGAAATAGCCTATCACCGAGAGTCTGTTCTTTGGAGTAAGGATCCCTAATGTTTTGATCATTTTAAAGCTCAGACCTAGCATATGACCAGTTCCAGTTCTTCAAACCCCTAGATTTTTTTTTTTGTAGTTGGTACCAATCTACTCAATTTGAGAGACTAATAACCACTCCTCCTCTGTCCTCTGTCCCTCCCACTCTCCCCAGGCACCTGTCAGAGGTGCAGACCCTGCAGGCCATCCAGAAGAGGGAGATCGAGGAGCTCTACGAGAAGATGGGGAAGGTGCCTCCCCCGGGAATCGTATCCCCAGCTGCCATGCTGTCGAGCCGGCAAAGGCGCCTGTCGAAAAGTGGGGGGTTCACGCCCTCTCGGAGGAACAGCCTTCAGAGACTGGAGATTGTGCAGCCTTCAGGTGAAGAAGCTGTTCAGTCTCAGCTAAAGCTCTTTAGCTGCTCCCTTTATATTGTATCTGACATGATTGCCTTCCACGGTGCTGTGTTCAGCTGTACTGAGTTACATTACAAGACCGTGCTGTGCTGTTCTGGTCACAGGGATTATGCGGAAGAATTCCTTCAGTGGGAGCAGCAGTGGATCCCAGGAGCGCTCGAGCAAAGCAGTGACCTTCGCTTCAGACTACAACAGAATGGTGAGGCTTGTTCTGTGAGGGAAGACTGCATGCCCGGCACAGAGCATGCCCTCCCACACAGAGCATATAAAGAGTAGAGCACGCCCATCCACACAGAGCATGTAAAAACAGAGCCTGTCCACCCACACAGAGCATGTAAAGAG